GCTTTAGTCCTGTTTTAGACCTGCTATAAATCTGCTTTAGTCCTGCTTTAGTCCTGCTTTAGTCCTGCTTTAGTCCTGCTTTAGACCTGTTTTAGTCCTGGTTTAGTCCTGCTTTAGACCTGCTTTAGTCCTGCTTTAGTCCTGCTTTAGTCCTGGTTTAGTCCTGCTTTAGACCTGCTTTAGTCCTGCTTTTGTCCTGCTTTAGACCTGCTTTAATCCTGCTTTAGTCCTGCTTTAGTCCTGCTGTAGTCCTGCTTTAGACCTGCTTTAGACCTGCTTTAATCCTGCTTTAGTCCTGCTTTAGTCCTGCTGTAGTCCTGCTTTAGACCTGCTTTAATCCTGCTTTAGTCCTATAATGCAGCTGTTGTCCTGTGATGGCGTCGAAAGAAACCCGCGGCTAAAACGAACATTTATTTTTACGATATTTTAAACAAACAGAAGCAGAAAGCAGCCGCAGGTCAATATTTGAGCGGCTAATTCAGACGCAGTGACGAGAGGAGACTGCAGACCGGACCATGTCCTGAGGCAGGCCTCCTCTGGACCACTCTATCGGTCTGTGAAGAAGGTCTAAAGCAGGACTAAATCAGGGCCTCAAACAGGTCTGAAGCAGGTCTAAAGCAGGCCTAAAGCAGAACTAAAGCAGGTCTAAAGCAGGTCCAAAGCCGGTCTAAAGAAGGACTGAATCAGGACCAGTCTGACGTGCATACTTCAGTTAACTCATGATAAAGACCTGCAGTGACAAACGTAAAACTCATGTGTTTTAATCACACTTCTCTCTGGTCCCAGACTCTGCCGCAGCTAGTGGACCCGGACTCTCCTCTGGACCTGGACTCAGATCTCCAGCAGCTCCTATCCTGCATCCAAACCAGACTGGACCCAAACAAACTCAAACGCAGGAGATCTGAGGAGCCAAACCTGGACTCAGAGGAGGAGAGGAGGAGAGAGGAGGAGAGGAAGACTGAGGAGGAGGAGGAGGAGAACGGACGGGCCCTGGAGACCGGTCTGGACCACGAGTAAAGACGGTACAATGACAAGAACATGCTAAATTAAGCAGTGTGTTGTGGTTCCAGGAGCTGCAGAAGTTCAAAGGGAGGAAACTCCAGAGAAAAAGACTACACGACCCATAATGCAACAGGTGCGCTCCATGGAACACTATTAAATTAGTTACTATTGGTCTCCTAGACAGTAACAGTAGCTCTAGGGCGGCACGGTAAAGACTAAATCAAATATGAAGCCTATACCTTTTATGAAACTATTGATAATTTTTTGTGTTCAATATTTAGAATGAAATGAATGATGTTCTATGTTTTCTGATGATGTAAAACATGCCATGGCCCACATTCCCCCATGTGACCAGCTGCCTCAGTCTTTTTTTTCCTGATGTGTCCAGCAGGGGTCCTCATCCTCGTCTCAAGCCGCTCCCAAACCAAAGAAGAAGAAAGTGGGGCTCTTCAGGTGAAACTGGTTTAAACGGAATTGAACTGTTTTTAATGTTTTTTTTACTGAGGAACGCAGAATCAAACGCTTTTAAATGATCTTAGAACTTGTTTTAAATGTGTTTTTAGTCTTTTTAATTGTGTTAATGAATAAACGTGTTAATCATGGATCCACAAACGTCTGCGTCATTTTTACACGTCAGCTTCTGTTTTATTATAAACAGTTGACAAATCAAAAACTTTAACCTCACTGGTCTACACTTTTAGACCTTTTCTCTAATCTCTATCTGGTCTTCATCTGGTGTCTATCTGGTTTCTCTCTGGTCTCGCTCTTTCTGTTCTCCCTTTATTTCCTCTCTGGTCTCTGTCTGGTCTCTCTCTGGTCCTGGTCCTGGTCCTGGTCCTCTTTTGGTCTCTTCTCTCCTTAGTGCGATGTTTGATGCGTCGTGTGGAATGTATTTGAACGCCTTAGAAGTCTGTGACCCTGGAGACCGACAAACACAACGCCACCGCACCAGCAGAGACCAGGACCATGGGGATCCCAGAGAGACACATAGTGACTCACAGGGCTCTTCTCGCCCATGGACCAAAGCAACAAATATGTGGATAGTGTCTCATGTGAGGTCAGGGAGAGACCAGAGAGAGAGACCAGAGGGAGAGGCCTGAGAGCAAGAGACCAGAGAGCGAGAGAGACCAGAGAGCGAGAGAGACCAGAGAGCGAGAGAGACCAGAGAGCGAGAGAGACCAGAAAGCATGAGAGACCAGAGAGCGAGATAGACCAGAGAGCGAGATGGACCAGAGAGCGAGAGAGACCAGAGAGCGAGATGGACCAGAGAGCGAGATGGACCAGAGAGCGAGATGGACCAGAGAGCGAGAGAGACCAGAGAGCGAGATGGACCAGAGAGCGAGATGGACCAGAGAGCGAGAGAGACCAGAGAGCGAGAGAGACCAGAGAGCAAGATAGACCAGAGCAAGAATAACAAACCTCAACCACGCCTACCACAAAAGTCTCCACTCTGTCATAGATGCCCTACAGGGGGATGGAGATTTATGAGAACTGGGGGATGGAGACTTCTGCTCAGGGTCAGAGGAGTTCTATCGTCATCATTTGAACATAGAAAACCCTCAAATGTGTGAATGCTTTGGGAGGGGCCAGACCCACAGAGGAGAGGAGAGGGGGGTGGTCTGCGCGATGGCTCTGACCTGAGACTGCAGCCGCTCAGAGAGGAGACCGCCTCTGTCAGGTAAGGACTGCTTCAAATACATACTGCTTTGTTTGTCTGGGAAAAATGTTACAAAGTTTGGTTATTTACAGCAGGTAAAAGGGGAATATTTGAGAGGAAATATTAATTAGACCTCATTACTATTGGTGATTCTTTGTCGATAAAGTTATTGTTTCCCGTTTGAACTGCTGCTAATTGATGTGGAAAGTGAAACATGTTTTTATGTATTTCAATAGGATGCAATGTTTCTGTTTTTAGCCTTTCGTGGATTTAAAAACTATTGATCCAAAAAAAAAAAAAGTAATGCAGAGCGATTTTGAATTTAGATTTTAAAAAATATATAGTTTTTAAGACAAAATATTGTTCCATTGGCGGTAACAATTTCATCAGGATTAGAGCTGACTCACACTAAACTGTTCCTGTGTCCAGGCCCCTGTGTCGTCTCTCCTCTCCCAGCTCTCATGCCTCCTCTCTGGGGTCCTCGTCTGCTGGTCCTGGCCCTGGCCTGGTCCGCCCTGGTCCTTCAGACTCTCGGCTGCGGCCCTGGTCGGGGGTACGGGGCCAAACGGAGAAGCGCGCGTAAGTTCGCCCCGCTGGCCTACAAGCAGTTCTCCCCCAACGTGGCGGAGAAGCACCCGGGAGCCTCCGGGCGCTACGGGGGCAAGATCAGCCGCAACTCTGAGCGCTTTAAGGAGCTGACGGCGAACTACAACCCGGACATCGTGTTCAAGGACGAGGAGAACACAGGAGCCGACCGCATGATGACGCAGGTTCAAACAATGTTCCTCATCACTGACCTGAAGCTGTGTTAAGATCCATCCATGCTCATAAGGAACTTCTGTCTAAAGCTCCTGTCCCAGTTCTGTTGTACATACCTTAGTTTTTGTGTTGTCAAGTGAAAGGGGGATCTTTAGCTTATGAGAGAGACAGGAAAGAGAGAGACCAAAGAGAGAGGCCAGTAAAAAATCCTAAAAAAAAATTCTTTGTGATTATGATTGAGAATTGGATAAATTAAGGCTGTATCGTTACAAAGAGGTTGAAGACGTTCTGAATGCACCGTTCAAAGATGACCACAGGGGGCGCTGGTTGCTTCACATAACGTCTTCTTTAAGGAAAGTGAGGTTTTCTGCGGCGTCACTCTTTCAGCCTCTTCCCCCCTTCTTCAAACACTACTGATGCGGCGAGAGGTATTTATTTGTCGCCCAATTTGCTCCTGAAATAACTTGTTTAAAAGGACAGGAATATAACGCAAAAACACGCTCCAAAGTCAACAAATGCAACTGCTACAAAAACAGCTCTGCTCCAATCACCCACGTCTGCTGTTGACCAATGAGAGACCACTTCTGTAAGACCAGAGCTAAATATTTGAGCAGAGAAGAGCTAATAAAGTAATGAATATTTAGGAAATGTTTGAGGAATAGAGGGTCATAGAGAAGTGACCGCTGTTGGGAAACTTCCTCCTGGTTTCGATGGTTTTCTCTGGCCTCAGATCCGAGGTTAGTCCTGGTTAAGACCTGCCTCAGTGCTTGTTTTTTTGGGGATACAGTTGAGTTAAAACTGCAAGCGGTATTGAACGGGTTTCCCTTTTAAAGTTGTGCTAGTTGATTCAATTCAATGTGTTTGTGTATTGCCCTAAATTGCAACAGGGGAAGCGATGTCGCAGAGGTTAGAGCAAGAAGGTCTTGGGTTTGATTCCACCTCCAGGCCTTTGGAGTTTGCATGTTCTCCCCGTGTCTGCATAGGTTTCCTCGTGATGCTCTGGTTTCCCCTACCGCTAAAACCATGTGCAATAGCTCTGAATGTTAATGAATGGATGATGTCTCTCTTCCGTCCTCACCATGTGGAGAGAATTGAACAATATCTGGATTCTCAACAATTGTAAAGCGCTAAATAATTGTGCTATATTAATAAAAATGACTTCCTTACTACTACTACATACAACCGTAGTTATCTCAGGGGACTTGAGTCGTCAGTTCGCCAACACAGATCAGAGAATCAAACACTTCCAACACAGGAAATACAACAATAAAAATACATAGAGGCATTGGTCCATAACGGGAAAAATCCAATGTCAATAAATGTCTTTGAATAACGATGTTGGGATCCATGCCCATTGAATAACTGGGGAGCGTTCATGCCAACTTTCTGATTGGGGAGTTCAGGTCCATGTTCCAAAGCGTTGGCTTGGGCGGCTTCTTTAGTCTCCTTTAGTCCAGTTTGTAGTACGGTGGAAGCTGAACTCCACCAGATTCTGATTTATGACTGATAATAACTGAGCTATTTTCTGCACAGGCTTGAGTCAGACCTGGTTCAGTCCTGCTTTTGTTCTGGTTTGATTCAGTCCTGCTTTAGTCCTGGTTTAGCCCTGCCTCAGTCCTGCTTTAGTCCTGCTCTAGTCCCTGCTCTAGTCCCTGCTTTAGTACTGCTTTAGACCTGCGAGCGCTGGTCTACTTTCTGCTCATCATGTCTCGCTCTCTCCTTGCCTTATCCCCTGTTTCACCTGGTTCCCCATATTCCCCTGGTTCCTCTAACCTCTTCACTCTTAGATTTACAGACGTGAATCTCAGATATTTCAGCCTCTGTTTTTGCAGCAGAAATAGCTGCTCGCTCGTCGTTGGGTAATTAGCCGCTGTAAAAGGCCTGCGTGTCGCCGATGGCCGTAAATCTCATATCTCTGAATCCTGCGCCGCAATGAACAAACTCAGGATTCAGAGTTTTAAACCCGAGCTGCGGAAACGTCAGGTTTACGAGCCCTGATCCGCACTGTCAGACGCACAAAGCCTGGATTCAAGTCATTCTGAGCCTGAAACATAATATTCATAGTTTGTTTTGAGATTGTGAAATTACTACTTGAGTAGAAAGTATTGGGATCCACAAATGCATCAAGAGACAGTCAAGATGGTGGCTGTGGAAGGTGCTCACATGTTGGCAATTGTTTTTCGTCTTTAGATTCAGTTTCTTTGCCGTTTGCAGTAAAACCACATGTGCAGAAGTCCCCAGTGTGCAGCTGACAAGTACATACATAACATTGAATGAAAAAGTACAAGAAACAAATCAACAAAAACAGTTTAAATACAAGTGAAGATCATGTAAGTGCTTTGTTCAGACTCGTATCAGCTTGTGGAAAGAAGCTGGAACATGCCTTTTCCAGAAGCCAGAAGAGACAGCGATTATTCTAAGAGCTGAATTTAAGTCAGGATTCATAAAGAACCTTCAGAACAGACAGCCCAAAGCTCACAGTCCTCGTTCAGAGCGTAGCACCTTGTTTAGAGCTCTCCTTTTATAAATATAATCACTAACACATTATCAAAATATACACTCCAGGATCACAGAGAGCGCCCAAAATGGTGAGTGTGACGTAATCTGTATACAGTCATTGGTTTAGGTCCTTTCTGGGCTTGAGTACCAGGATGGACACTAAAGGTTCAGGACAAAGGTGGACCCATAGTCTCCTTTGCAAAGTTGTTGATTCGCTAACGCAGATCAGTGAATGAAACCGTTCAAACACAGGAAATGCAAGGGAAGATGGTCGACGTCCATAAATGTCCTCTGTCCTTAGCCTCTCCTGCGTCGGCAAGGAACCATTCCATCTTCCAGGTCTCTCTCCTGGTCTCTGCTCTTGTCTTCCAGGTCTCTCTCCTGACCTTAGTCCTTGTTTTCCAGCGATGTAAGGACAAGCTGAACTCGTTGGCCATCTCTGTTCTCAACCTGTGGCCTGGGGTCCGTCTGCGGGTCACTGAGGGCTGGGACGAAGACGGTCTTCACTCTGAGGACTCTCTCCACTACGAGGGTCGAGCCGTAGACATCACCACCTCCGACCGGGACCGCCACAAATACGCCATGCTAGCCCGGCTCGCTGTGGAGGCGGGCTTCGACTGGGTCTACTACGAGTCCAAGGCCCACGTGCACTGCAGCGTCAAGTCTGGTGAGCTAAGTTTAAAGCTGAGGGACGTAACTTTTAATGCAACAAAAGAACTCTGTGATCAACCCATGTCTCTAGTTCCTGGCTTCACTAGTTTTCACGGACTTGTATTGAGTTGTTGCTACCCACAAATTTGGCTCCAGATTTTCATCTACGGAGCCCATGTGAGTTAGCTCCAACCCTCTGGAGCCTGGTGGTTGGTCTCTCTCTCTGTCTCTGAGTCTCGTCCAGATGTTTCTCAAATAGTTTCCACATTTCTCACATTTTCTCGGCTTCTCGCTAAAGTCGCATCAGAGTGGTGTTTAGATCCAGCACTAATCCACATCTATCTGTGTGTTCTGAATCCTCTCTCCAACCTCTCTCCTTCCCCTCCCCTCTCCTCCTCCTCTTTCTCCTCCCCTCTCCTCCGCCTCAGAGCGTGTTGCCAGAGCCCAGTCCTTGACCTGATCGCCTGAGTCTCGACAGTCCGCCTCTCAATCACAAGTTTGTATTTTTTTTTTTTTATAATTTTCACACAATAAAAAATAAACAAAAACCAAAGTGATGATAAAATGACAAAAAGACTTCAGCCCTGAAGTCCACTGTCCTGTCAACAAAGATAAGAAAAACTTATTTCACAAGCTCCAACTTCTACCACAAGAATATAATTGTAATAATTATGTAAATATAATATAATATTTACATAATAAATACAAAAAGATAAAAGTTTAGATGTTGCAATCTTGTTTGTAAAAATGAAAACAGGCATATTTACAAATGTATCTGCTGACTGTATGCACAAGTGTATTTATGGTATGTTTTGTGCTACTTTGTTCCCACCATGGATCTATAATAATAACGGGTTCCCACCTGTACGGAGTGTCCTTCCCTGTCGAGGGACTATGGATGAAAATTAGCCTAAGGCCAATTCTGGTGCAATGCATCAAATGGAAACATTTATGTTCTAATTTTACATGGTCTCTTTTTAGATAAACAAAATAAATGTGTCCTAATTCTGATCCCCAGTTTGAATCTGAAATGTGTCCTTCCTGTATCATATATTTCCTGTCTTTAACGTTTCTTCAGAGGCAGCTACAGGAGATGACCACTAGAGGGCAGCACACACTGGACCAGAGCAGTCCAGTCAGGAAGGTAATACAGCGTACTAATCAACACAAATCCAAATGTTTTGATAATTGTTTGTGAATGGAGGAAACTCAAAAGCTTTAATTCAATCCAATCCACTTTATTTATTTAGCACATTTTATAAAACACGTTTCTAAAGTGCTGTACATATAAGTAAAAAAGTAAGTAACAGATTAAAATATACAAGTCTACCAGCTTTAAATAAAAACAATTTTAAAAAAAGCAATTAACTATATACATAAATAAACATAAAGCAAATTCACCACTGACTGATTGTGTCCCTTCAGATCGCCTGGAGGCCGTTTCCGCCGCACCTTGACCCTGATCCAGACTGCAACCGCACATCAGCCGAGGTGGAACACTTCTTCCAAGCCAAGAGCATTGTTCTTAGTCGCCGTTGTTTCCAAGTCATTCTCTCGTCAAAGCAGTGGATTTGGAGAAGGACAAAGGATTGTAAACATTTCTAACTGGACGGGCTAATGTCGGCTGAAGTAGCGCATCAAGCTAATGGAGCGGTTATGATTCTGTTAGCGAAGTATGCTAATGGTTCGGAGCGGGACAAAACATCGTAACAGACAGGAGTCAAAAAGATGGACAATGAAAAACTCAAGCTTTATCTGCAGAATACGACGAATACAGTTATTGTGGAGAGAAAACAAAATGGACGCCGTTTTTGAAAGCGGAAATATGCAACACAAGAAAGTTTGATCGCTGCTGTTCTGAACATTTAACATTTTGAACTACAGTCGTTGAATAACTTCTGCATTTTGGAAAAGACAAAATTACATTGCCTGTATCCTCTAATAATTTAAGCACAAATGTATTGCAAGCTTCAAAAACCTAAAAAAAAACATGGATTTGTTGTAGCGCAAAGGATTGTACGTGCCACAGAGCCATTGTGAGGTTTTGGGACTAAGCAGCTCTCGTCCAATAGGAGTGAAGCAGAAACTGACTGCTGGAGCAAAATGGCCGTCTGTTAAATGTTTTTTCTTTTGTTGGACCTGGAATTTGGGATAAAGATTGTATGATGGCTCCTCAAAAAAGATTTAATTTATTAATCATGTGGAAATTTATTGACCCTTCTTTTAAAATGTATTTTTAAATTAAAGAATATTTAACTGTGACTTCTGTTGCATTTCATACATTCAGAGCAACTCTTTAGTCTCTGTGAGCCGTGGTCTTGGTTTAGTCTTGGTTTAGTCATCCAGCACCTGTTTAGTCCTGACTTAGTCCTAGTGGCTTCACATGGGTCTGGGTGAGTCCTGGCTGCTGCTTCACTTTTGCTGATTGTAGAAATGGAAAATGATCAAAGTCAAAATGATCATAAATTGCGATTAAAGAATCTATTCAATACAATCTTACAAATTAGTTTTAATCTTTAATAGGAATCTTGAACTTTAACTCAGAATGTCTTCGTCTCTAAGTGTGAGCCGCAACAGACTCCTTTATGGGCCCACAACATCCTGCAGGCCCCACTAATGGCGACAATAATCAGTTGGTAGAGCTTAGGTCTTTGAGCCAGAGGGTCGTGGGTTCGAGCCTGACTATCGACTCCCACTGTCTGCTGTCGTTGTGTCCTTGGCAAGACACTTAACCTCTGGGAACACCAGCCACAGTGGGACAGCATGGATCTAGTGGTGCAGCTGTAAAGTGCCAAACTGCCGTTGTGTCCTTAGGCAAGACACTTCACCCTCATTGCCTAGAATGAGTCTGGTGTGTGTGTGTGGTTGGTGGTGGTCAGAGGGGCCGATGGCACATACTGGTTGCCTCGCTTCTGTCAGTGTGCCCCAGGGCAGCTGTAGTAGTAGTTTATCACCACCGTGTATGGAGTAAATAATTAATGACATGTGAAGCGTCTTTGAGTGTCCAAAAAAGCGCTATATAAAACCGATGCATTATTATTATTATTACTTTGGTCTCCCTATTTTCTTCTTTTATCTATAGTCCTGCTTTAGACCTTTTAGAACTGCTTTAGTCTCGTCTCTAGTACTGCTGTAGACCTGCTTGACTCCTGCTTTAGACTTGGCCGGGACCAGGACCAGAGCGCACCAGGACCATTCAGACCAGATCTGGTCTTTGCTTTAGTCCTGCTTTAGACCTACTTTATTCCTGCCTCAGACTAGCTATAGCCTCTTCTATAGTCTTGCTTGACTCCTGCTTTAGACCTGGCCGGGACCAGGACCAGACCAGACCAGATCTGGTCTTTGCTTTAGTCTGGCTTTAGACCTATACTTCTTTAGTCCTGCTTTAGACTTGCTTTAGTCTCTTCTTCAGACCTCCTGCTTCAGACCCTTCCAGACCCCTGTTCTCGGCTCTGTAAATAGCCTTCACCAGTTGCTCTGCAGTGACAGTTGCGCGCTAAGAATACCCCGCAGTGCCCCTTTAAGCGCGTGCGGAGTCTGTGGGGGAAACCCGAACCCCGGTCCCGTTACCTGCATAAGCACTGCGCATGCGCACTGGGGGCCCCGGGGTAAAGCCGATTAGCCCCGTACGCGCACGGCTCCTCCAGGACTCCGGGATTATCTGTCTTTCACAGCCCGGGTTTGTCTCTGGTCTTGTCTGGTGTGCTCTGGTCCTGGTGTGCTCTGGTCCTGGTCCTGGTCCCGGTCCCGGTCTGGTCATGGCAGAGGTCGGTAAAGGGGTCACCGCGGGGAAGCTGGCGATCAGCGTCCAGAAGAAGCTGACGCGCGCACAGGAGAAGGTACGCACTTTACGCACGCGGTAACCGGAGACGCGCACTCCTCACCGTCATCAATTATAGCACAGGTACAGTGTGTGAAGCCTCAGGTACAGTTTGTGAAGCCTCAGGTGCGCGTGGAGCCCCAACACTGCTGTAAACGAGGCCTGCGTAAACATGTGGTCATTTTTACGCAGACGGAGCCGCGCGCATCGAGTCCTTTTGACCTCATATGTGTGGTATGAAGTGATTAGCCATGCTTCTATGTCCATAATGCAAGTTTAAAGTGGTTAGCCAAACTCCTAAGTTCATTAATACGAGTGAGAAGCAGTTTGTATCTGTGCATCTAGAAATACAGCCGCTTCAGGAACACAAATCTGGTCTTACGCTGCAAGAAGGTTCTGGGTTTGAATCACAGTCTGAACAGGGTCTTTCTGAGTGGAATTTGAATGTTCTCCCTGTGTCTGCTAGGTTCCGGTTTCCCAACTAAAAACATGTACAAAGGGTTTCTACCCTTCCTGCAGCTCTGAACATCATCTGTTGATTGGTCCTCTGTTTCTATGGCGACCACTGCCTCTGACAGAGGTCCAAGTACAGGATGGGTCAAATGCAGAGGACAAAGGGATAAATGAAGTGTACAATTTTATTTATTACTTTGTCATGTATTTTTGCTTCTACGTTTTCCAGTGAAATTGCGTTCTTAAAGCTGAGGTACCTAAGTCTTTTTGCTTCATCAATCATTCATCCAGGGATAGAATCTTTACATCCTGTTAGAATACATTATAAATACAAAACCGTAGAAGCAAACAGGATATATAGTCTAGTCACTCTTGCTGGTTTCTCTTTTTGGTTTCTCTCTCTGGTCTCTCCCTCTCTGTGACTGTGAGTCACAATTCGACTCTTTCGGTGAGAGCTGATTGGCTGAGTGAAAGTGGTCCTCTTTTTTCAGACAGAGGCCGAAAACGCATGAAATAGAGACAGAAGCAAACAGTAACTTGTGACATGGAAGTGATACAGTTCTGATGTTGTGCTTTGAAAGTTACGTCCCTCAGCTTTAACTGTTGGAGAAGTCCATGTTCCTGTTGTTGAGCCGAGTGATTATCGCAGTTTCACTTTTCCTCATCTGTTACAGACGCTCTGCTTTCAAATGTCACAGACAGATAACACGGAGCAGCAGGCACACCCCCACCCCTTCTGTCCAAAGACTCTGCTTTTAAACTTGTTATTAATGTGCAAGGTACTGGAGAAAGCATGTAAAGCAGGGATGTCAAATACATCAGAGTACCAAAAAAAACAAATTTGCTACAAGCCGAGCGCCGGACTGGTTCAATGTTTATGAAAATATATTAAAATGATGCATATAACCTTTGGAACCAAGACCTAACACAGTGGACCGTATTTTATCTAATGATTAAAAATGCAATATTTTTGTCAGTAATTTCTAGAAAACAGACAAAAACAAACTTCCTTCAAAGAAAAATAACTCATGTCCAGAGCATTAATAATCCAAAATGTTCTCATGGCTTTGTTCGGGGCGGTTCTAATACTAATCAAATATCATTCTTGACTTTGACGCTCATGATGTAGATATACAATAGCTTATAGCTCAATGAAGCCCAATAGTCTCTCTGTGTCACTCTGGTCTCTCTCTCTGGTCTCTTTCTGGTCATTCTCTGGTTTCTCTGCTCTTTCTCTGCTTTCTCTCTGGTCTCTCTCTGGTCCCTTTTTGGTTCTTCTCTGGTCTAACAGTCTCCATCTGATGTTAAAGCATTCTCCTTTGCAAAAATCCCGCAGTCACACTGAGCTGCCTTGTAAGTGTGTGATCTCCCCAGAGCAGCTTTACTAAACCACAATGAAGGAGAGAGAAAGTGTCTCACTCCTGACCTCCGTACCATGTGGTCTGCACCCTCAGACCTGAGTGGGTCATGTGACCTGGGTGCTCACGGTGATGTCAGCTGTCCAGCAAAGCAAGATGGGAGACAGCGGCAGGAATCCAGACACAGAGAAACCGGAGACTCTCCAAAACCACGACTCACGGATCAGGTTAAAGAGACCTCAGTTTCAGACAGAACCTGAAATATAAACACCAAATTGTGGCTGCAGGAGAACCATGTTCTTCTGTGAAGCGTCTTTGAACGTCCAAAAGAGTGCTATATAAGTATGATGTATTATTACGGCATACTTATATAGCGGCACAATGGGCGGCACGGTGGCTGAGTGGATAGCACTCTCGCCTCTCAGCAAGAAGGTCCTTGGTTCGAATCCCGGTCGGACCAGGGCCTTTCCTCCGGGTACTCCGGTTTCCCCTACCACCAAAAATATGTACAATAGGTCTGTGCATGCGCCTCCTGCACTGGCAACCCCGCTCCCATCTCTGCGTGGAGTGAGAGGACAAATGCCCAAAAATAACAATTGTAAACAGCTTTGTGACTCTAGTCTGTGAAAGGCGATATATAAATAAAGATTACTTACTTACTATTATTATTATTATGCCAGATCCATGTGGGTCTTTCTGGTCTCCCTCTCGGCTCTCTCTCTGGTCTCAGGTCTCTCTCTGGTCTCTCACTCAGGTCTCTCTCTGATCTCGGGTCATTCTCTGGCCTCTTTCTCTGGTATTTCTCTCTCTCTCAAGTATCTCCCTGGTCTCTCTATCTCTTTCTGGTCTATCTCTTGTCTCTCTTCCTAGAGTCTCTATTTGGTCTCTCTCTGGTCTCTTTCGCATCTCTCTGGTCTCTCCCTGGTCTCTTTCTCTGGTCCCTTTCTGGTCTTTCTCTCTGGTCTCCCTCTGGTCTCTCTTTGGTCCCTCTCTGGTCTCTCTCCCTGGTCTTGCTCTCTCTGGTCTCTCTCTCCCTGGTCTCTCTCTCTGGTCTCTCTCTCTGGTCTCTCTCTGGAACTCGCTCTCGCTGGTCTCTCTCTAGGGTCTCGCTTGGGTCTCTCTCTCTTGAGTCGCTCGCTGGTCTCTCTCCTCCGGGTCTCTCTCTGGTCTCTTTCTCTGGTTTCTTTCTCTGGTCCCTTTCTGGTCTTTCTCTTTGGTCCTTCTCTGGCTTCTCTCCCTGGTCTCTCTCTCTCTGGTTTCTCCCTGGATAACTCTCACTGTCCTCTCTCTAGGGTCTTGCTTGGGTCTCTCTCTCGGATCTCTCTCGTGAGTCTCTCGCTGGTCTCTTTCTCTGGTTTCCCTCTGGTCTATTTTCCTGGTCTCCCCCTGGTCTCTCACTGGTCTCTCTCTGGTCTCTCTCTGGTCTCCCTCCGGTCTTTCTCTGGTCTCTCTCTGGTCTCCCTCTGGTCTCTCTCTGGTCTCTCTCTGATCTCTCCCTCTCTGGTCACTCTCTCTAGTCTCTCTCGGGTGTCTCTGGTCTTTCTCTTTCTGATCTTTCTTTGGTCTTTCCTTGGTCTCTGCTCCTGATCTCCTTCTCTCTGGTCTCTCCCTCTGTTTTCTCTCTGTGGTTTCTATCTCTGGGCTCTTCCTCTGGTTTCTATGATCTCTCTCTCCAGCCTCTCTCTGGTCTCTCTCTCTCGTCTCTCCTATGTCGCTCTCTGGTCTCACTGGTCTCTGTTTCTGGTCTCTTTCGGGTGTCTCTGATGTCTGATCTCTCTTTTTGGATCTCTCTCAATCTGGTCTCTCTCTCTGGATCTCTTTCTCTGGTCTCTCTTACTGGATCTCTCTGCTCTCTGGTCTCTCTCTGGTCTCTCTCTCTCTGGTCTTTATGAGGCGGCTACATTTGAACTATGGAATCATTCAGGATGCATGAGGGTCACTAACTGCCTCTTTGAGCTGAGAGCTGATTGGTCGCTCCATGGATGTGCTGTGTGGACTGATGAGATCACAGTCAGGATTTGTGATAATGAAACGACTTTGACCACAGAGCATTTGGACAGAAGGGCGGGGGACATGAGTTTCAGCAGTAGTAGCAGTAGTAGCAGCAGTAGCAGTAGTTCTAGTAGTAGTAGTCTGACTTTGTGTAGTCAGTGCAGTGTATCGTGCCAAACTACACTTATTAGATACCTATCCAACTCCACTTTAATGCAAATTTCTAATCAGCCAATCACATGGCAGCAACTCAATGCATTTGGGCATGTAGACAGGGTCAAGACGATCCGCTGTAGTTCAAATCAGAATGGAGAAAATGTAAGTGATTTAAGTGACATGGTTGTTGGTGCCAGATGGGCTGGTCTGAGTATTTCAGAAACTTCTGATCCACTGAGATTTTCACACACAACCATCTCTATGGTTTACAGAGAATAGTCCAAAAAAGAGAAAATATCCATTGAGCGGCAGTTCGGTGGGCGAAACTTCCTTGTAGAGGTCAGAGGTGAATGGCCAGACTGGTTCGAGCTGATAGAAAGGCAACAATAACTGAAACCACTTGTTACAACCAAGGTCTGCAAGAGCCTTTCTGAACACAGAACACATTGACCCTTGAAGCAGATGGGCTACAGTCCTAGTCCTTTCAGCTAAAAACAGGAAACTGAGGCTACAATTCGCACAGGCTCACCAAAATTGGACTATAGAAGATTGGAAAAAAATAGAAAGAGGAAAAGAGGAAAAAAGATTGAAAAAAGTTGCCTGG